CGCAATGTTTGGAAGGATCATGATTTACTGTTGGATTTAGGGCCTTTCTTGGAGTTCTTCCCTCTAGTGTTTTTGTGTGGCTGATCATTAGGCTTTGAAGAGGATGAGGATGTTTTTTTCCCATAAGAAGAGCTAGCCAAGTCGGCCAAGGAATGATCATTGATACAAGCTTCCAAATTATTACTTGAGGTAGCTTCAGAATCTGAAAAAAGATTTAGGAGATTAAATTTGTTAGGAGAAGAAGATTTCAGAGGAGATTGGGCTGTAGGCAATTGATTTGAGCATTTAGGTGGTGGGGAATTAGATTGTTCTGGTGGCAATTGATTTGAGCCTTTAGGTGGTGGGGAAGTAGATTGTTCTGGTGGTGGGTCGGAGGTGGAAGAGGAAGGAAGGTTGGGTGAATTGAGGTTTGGGATAATTGCGGTACTTGGAGGGGTGGGGATTGTGACGAGATTTTCATGAGGTTGATTGGGTAAAGAGGTTTCAACTATTTGAAAATTCGGCAAAACAGGTGAGGTTGGCAGTGTGGCAGAATGCATTTGGTTAGTGAGATTCGAAGATGGGATATCTAGTTGATTTGGAAGAGAAATAGCATTATGAGACACGGGCATGGATTTCCCAGGGGAAGAGGAAGTACGAGGAGACGGAGTAGGAAGTATACCAGTAGGATTGTTTGAAGGAGGTCTGCGACTGCGGTTCGTGCTCCTGTCGCGAGGAGGTTTTGGCGGAAGAACAGCAGTGGGTTTTGGGTTTGGGTTTGTTGGGCAAAATTCGGAAGTGTGGTTAAAGGATTTGCAGAAATCACATATAGAGGGACGCCATTCGTATTGTATGACAAGATTGAAAAGTTTCCCTTCAACCGTAATCGGAACAAAAGCAGGGTAAGTGGCGGAAGCATCAACTAGGACACAGACTCTTGCATAAGTAAGTCTGGATTTCGAGGCAGTGAGGGAGTCTACGGCTACCGGAGCTCCAATTTTAGTTGCAATCTTAGAAATCCCAACTGGCGTCCAGCAACACAAAGGCAAATCATGTATTTTGAACCAGATAGGCACACTGGTAAAGTCTTCTCTTTTGGGACTAAAGTGCGAAGTCCATTTACGAAAAATGAAAGGTTTACCGAAGATAAACCAAGCACCCTTATTCCAGACCATTTCAAAATCTTCCCGGCATGAAAACTTGAACAGAAAAAACCCATCACTAAGAGAGATAAGTTTGATATTACCTTTGAGATCCCAAAGCTTTTTAACGGCATTAAGAAGGGATTCATAGAAAGGTCGTTTACCCAGAGAATATCCAACCAGGGCTAGATTCCATTCTTCAACTGCATCAGCAATATCCAAAGTAGGGAAGTCGATAATTTCTTCAGGAGTTGGCAGGGTGGAGATGTTGAACTCTCCAGTCGCTGGAGGGGAGGCGAAGACACGATCCCACGGCAAGGCTGAAGAGGTACTAGCAATAGAAGGAGGAGAGGAGTTTGGAAGAGGAGGAAAGGATGAAAGGAGGGATCATAGGATCCCTCCGGCGGCGGCGGAAAAAAAGCGCGAGAGCGAAAAAGAAAGAAAAACCCTAGCGGAGTTTCTCACACTAGGATATTAGAGAGAGAAATTAACGCTAATCATCTCCTCTAATCAGTGGATCATCACATGAATGTTGTTACTAATTTGAGGTATGCATATTTTATATTCTTAAACTGCTGCATCTATTTTCTTTTGAGAGAGAGAGAAATAACAGGAGATTTGGTTGCAACTTGAAAATGCAAAGACACCATCTTTTACACTATTGTAAATGCCTTTTAAGCACAAAATCTCTAGCTAGAAGAATTTCTAAAAAATCAAAACAATTTTTGACGGGCTGCTTCCAACAACTGAACAAGGATGAATCATAGTTCTCCTCTCTTTATGTCTCTTTGCACTTTTGGATGGTCATTCTCTGTAGCATTTCAATATTTTGCTTGGTCATTTTGTAGGATTTATTGCTAACAAGAGAGATTTCTATATAAGTTCAGACTAACTTTTTCACTTTTATGTTTATTTTTGTAGCCTTTAGGGCGCCTTTTTGTTAATAGTTCTTCCCCTCTCTGATGCTTTCATTCATGTTTCTCTTCTTGAGTTGTTGACTAGAAAAAATGATGATAGACGAGTGATCTGAGCAGGTAGGGGTAGTGACTTCACAGAAGGAGCTTGGAAAACTCTCAAGCAACTTATCATTGATCAACATTTTGTCCAATTTCAAATGAATAGGGTCATTAGCTCTTTGATTAAACCAAGTAAATTTGAGACTAGTTGAGGCCAAATCCAACAAGCCCACATCAAAAATAAAGGAATTGAAATTCCATAATTGAGAAGAAAGGAGGGGGAGCCCCCAAACTTCTAAAAAAGATAGCGACAACAATTGAAATCACTAAGGATACTCCAAGGTGCGTTGATATTAAAGTTGATCTCCTTCAAATTATCCCAAAGCATAACTCTATCAGATTGCAAATTCGAAAAATAAATGACAGACATAATGCAAACAAAATCAGACCCCATGTGAACTTCTCCATAAATTATATGATTAGAAGTAAATGTTGGAATAAAATGGACATTAGATGGGTTCCAATTTATCCAAATTCTATCGAAACCCATCTTGCAGCTTGGAACGTGAGAGGCTTCAACAGTTCAAACAAAGTTTGGTGCTACAAAGATTTAGTTCGTCATCACAATCTAGATTTACTTTGTATTATGGAGACGAAAAACAATTTTTTGGATCATTGGTACCGCCTCAACCACCGAGTTTTTTTTTTTATTATAAAACATCAGACCAACCTATCTTAGTTCAAATATAAATTTATTTGGAGAATACAGTATTATTATATATAAAATATGCATTACTCTAACAGCATGTCGGCCTGGATAAGATTGCGTTTTTAATGTTTTTTTCCATGTTTTTTCCTGCACGAGGCTGCCTTTGGAGAAATAAATGAAATCAGCAAGGCTGCAAGTGGCTTTATACGACAAATTTAATCAGGAAATAAATATTATTATTTCTGCATGGTTCTGCATGCCACAGAAGAAATAAATAAAATCTTCATGCGCTTGATTAAAAAAAATCTTCATGCCCTTGATTAAAAAAAAAAAAAAAAAAAAAGGATCGGTTAATGAATTCTAATATGAAATGAATTAAATTCTGAAAAAAAGTAATGGCTACAGTATCCAATCAGTGCAGAAGAAGAACTGAAGATAAGCCCATCGCTTCAAGCAAAATAAAATATGAGCTGATCAGTCCCTACCTAATAATTGTAGCTGCTTCATTTTATATTTTCAATTATGTTATTTTTTAATAAGTTTGCTTTTTCGTTATTTTAAATATAATTATTTTTTAATATTATCATATATTTATCTTAACATTATGATTTTTTACATATTTATTTTAGTTATTAATGAATCTTTTGTAGCTTAGCATTCAAATTAATAGATGCTTGGCTTGGTTGGTGGAATCCTAACTCGTGCTCGATTCCCCTCAAACAGAAAAGTCTCTTAAGTTGGACTAAATCAAGTGCGGGCTAGGAGGTTTCAAGGGTGGGTGCCTCCTCTAGGTCAGCTGGGGATAGGGGTGTAAACGAGTCGAGTCGAGTCGAGTTTTGGCACTATCGAGCTCAGCTCGTTAGTTGGAAAGTGAGCTCGAACTCGAGCACGAGCTCGTGGCTCGATAAGCTCGGCTCACGAGCTCGTTAACGAGTCGAGCTTGAGCCGGCTCGTCTCACTTACACCCCTAGCTGAGGATTAGTCATGTTGCCGAGTGCCTTTTCGGGGGTGGCAGCAGGTGGGGATACCCAGTACCAAAAATAATAATAATAATAATGTGATATAAATAGTCTAATTATAACGTTAGGAAGAGCCCATGCATCTTTATCTTTAGCACTGAAACATTTACTAAAAAAAAAAATTCAAAAGCATGAGTAACCCTAATTTTCTAACTTAATGCATGTTCACATGAAAGGGATAAAATAATACTGTTAAAAAAATATTGAAAGAAAAGAAAAGAAAAAATTACCCACCGCTACTAATGTCTTGGAAGGTCTTTCAAAATAAGTAAGTCATCTTTCAAATTGGGTTTGGGTTCTTGGTATAGGGAGAAGTTTGGCTCCCTCTGGAAAACTCCTCCCATCAATGCTTCTAAGTTTTGAAAATTTTTTTGTATTAAAGCTGCTGTGATTAGAGACTCTATTTCCTTTGCGGTTAACAGTAATAGCAATTTATCTTTTTTCTGGGACCCATGGTGTAACAAAAAAGCTCTCTCTGATTTATCTGCCCACAGAGCTTTTCTCTTTTGAAGATTAAAGATGTATTAGTTCATAATTCTTGGAACTTGCCGGATGATTTACCTGATAGCATTAAGTCTAATATTATGAGGGTTGGGATTACTTCTAATCCTCATAGTATTACCTGGGACGGTGTTGCCTCTCCTTCATCTAAGAATTGTTCTATTCAGTTTTTTTCTGATTTGGAGGATGTTAACTGGAGCAAATACATTTGGCACAAAGGTTATGCGTTGAGATATGCTTGGATGGATGTACAAAGGAAACTTAAAACTGTTGATATTCTTTTGGTTAGAGGCATTCATGTTACATAATCTTGTTCTTTATGTGTTAGCAACCGTGAATGTCACTCACATTTGTTTTTTGAATGTGATTTTTCATTCCGGATCATTACTGAGTTTTTTCCTTCTCTGACGAATTTTTACCTGAGGCCTAATTAGCTTCAAGTTTATAATTTTTCGGGAAACACCAGGAATTATAACAGATCACATCTCAATTTTTGTTATCTTTCTATTTCTGTTATGATTTATTGGATTTGGAGGGAGCGTAACCGCAGGAGGTTCTCTAATTTGAGGAGAAGTCATTTGAACTGAATGAATTGATCATCCATGTGATTAAAGCTAAAGTTATTAAGTGGAAGCACTATGAGAATCTCAAAGAAAATTTTAGGGAAATTCTGGACTGAAGTTTTTGGCTTTCAACACTGGTGGCTGTTTTTGGCTGTGAATTTTTGATGGTCCATTGTGAGATTCAAATTTTTGACTGGTTTTCAGTTTTCTTCGATGCCCGTTTTTTGGTTGGTTGAAGCTGGTATTTTGAAGGACGATGATGTGCAAGGTCTACATCCGGTTTGCATCCTTGGATGGTCGTTCGGCAACCAGGACTGCAACTTCGACACTTTGATGGCCTGCTGCCTTTGCTTTGGGCAACTAGTGTCCATACGATTGGCTAAATGGTTTTCTCATGATCTTGGCTTTGATGCCAGTTTGATGTAGACCTATTTTCCTGACTCCTTTTGTAAAATTTATTTCATTTTTACTTTCTGCTGGTATAGTCATTTTACTTGTAATTTTGGCTTACTTATAACTCTTTGGTGATAAATATACGGGGCTTGCCCCCATTTTTCCAAAAAAAAAAAAAAATCTTTCAAATTGAACCATAATAGTTGATCAATGATTCGTTTGGGATAACTTTCTTACTACTTTATTTTTTTAAATGCAATCACAATTCTTTTTTGTTGTTTTTGAAAAAAAATTGTACCAAAAAACTATTTTCAACCACTAATTCTTATAAAATAGTAAGAAAACTATATCAAATGAAGTCTAAAGCTTCAATGGCCTAGGCAAGTCCCAACATAGTGAAAAAGTGTCCATGAGAGGGCACAAAGTGACACTACAGAAAAATCGTCAATTAGCGGCGGATTTTTTCGGTGGCTTGCCGGCGGATTATTTTCCGACGGCTTTTCGGCGACTTTCCGGCTGCAGCGGGCAAGGCGGGAGCTCAGGCGGGCAGCGCGGGCAGGCCGCCTGGCAAGCAGCGAGCAGGGCGGGAGCTCGGGCGGGCAGGGCAAGAGATTGAGCGAGCAGCGGGCAGCTCAGCTTGGGCTGGGCAGGTAGTGCAGGCAGACCGCCTTGTTGGCAGTCGGGCAAGGCGGGGGTTTCTAGGCAGCCGTTTAATTTTTTTTTAAATTAAATTTTAGATATTTTTATGTGGCTTTTTTTCGCCGGAAATATTTGCCGCCTGAAAATACCGCCAAAAGTATTTTTCCTATGTGTGTTTTACCGGCGGAAAATTTGCAAAGCCACCGGGCCGGAAAATGCCATCGATAATAATTGATTTTCTTGTAGTGTGAAGAGTGTCCAAGCCAGATAGGAGAATTGTGTTGTTCTTTAAAAACAACTTGAGTTGTCATTAGACATGGCTGTATTCCAAGAGATAATGCACGTCTTCTTCCTTATATTCTTATGATATAAGAAATTAGAGATTATATTTGAGATTTTCTGTAAAATTTCTGGAGAAAGGATCACACATCTAAATAAATACAAAAGAAAATCTCAATTTGTACAGTGAATAAATTAAAGTTTTGTAGCAAAAAAATGCAGTTTTTATTTCCAACTACTATATTGTGATGCATTCTTTTTTTTATGATAATCAAATAATCTTAAATTTGTAATCAAGAAGAAGAAAAGATAATGCCAAGATAAAAGGGAATACAATAGTTGATACCAAGTAAAGCCACTCAGCAGCTGAAAAGTGACCAGACTAATAGATTTTAAACAGTATGTTGTAGGTTTATCATAGTTAATGATGTTAGAGTACTCCATCGTAATTTAGCTGGGTTGATGGGCGAGCATGATTGGGAACCCTCAGCCCATGTTCAAATTCTCAATCTCTCTCATACGGCGCTGACCCCAAAGATAAAATAACTATGGGCCAGACTAATTGCACGTAGGCTCGCCGAGGAATTAATTATGCCGTCAATCACCTTCAAAAGGGCCGGCTAGTAGAGTACAAACAAAGGCGTCAAGCCCCTACACCCACGGCTACCATTATTTTATTCTACCAACTTTATGTTTTCCAACAACCTCTATGACACTTGATCCTACTATTTTATTTTTCCATTGCGCTACAAATCATATATCAATCAAACATAAACAAGAAGCAGGAGCCTTTAGTCTCACTACTACCATCTTGTAGTAGAAACCTCTTTTCCTTCATCACCTAAACGGTAGAAACCTCTTCTCCTTCATCACCTAAACGACCAAGAGGATATATTCATGGGTGCAGCTACAAGTGAAGGAGAGAGAGATGTGCTCAAATCCCTGGTGTTCAAGGAATCGGCAGCCCTCGAGTCCTTAAAGATCGGCGGCTACGACTTCAACGATGGACTCGACCTTGCCGGCCTCCTGAACTCCATGGTCTCAACAGGTTTCCAGGCCACAAACCTGGGGGAAGCCATGGAGGTCGTTAACCAAATGGTATGAAGATCAGTATATAAAACCTCCTCATTATATCATTATCACTCTAGGATAATCTTATATATTATCAATAAGAAGATCACTACAGATAATTCAGGCATTACGGTCGGTTTTTCTGAGGTTTCCAGCGGTTCAGTAAAATACATGCAGTTTTTCGGCGGTTCGAAAACCGCCGGAATTAACCGCGTAGAAAATGATTTCCGGCGGTCTATAGCCTAGACGGCAGTTAATTACCGACGGCTATATGACCTGGCCGTCGGTAATACCTGAATTTCCTGTAGTGGATACTAACTGTAATTAAATTTTGTGAAGATAAACTGGAGGCTTTCGCATGAAGAGCCAGCAGAAGATGGGAGTGAAGAGAGAGATCAGGCTGTTAGGGAGTCTGTGAAGTGCAAGATATTTCTTGGCTTCACATCTAATCTCATTTCTTCGGGAATTAGGGAGACTATAAGGTTCTTGGTGCAGCATCGCATGGTAAGTGCTTTTGCCTTTCCTTCATCTGTGTAAATTATACGTAAATATTTTTCATAATTTTCGTATGATAGTTTATATATAAATATTTTTCTTTAACAAGGAGCTGCGATGAACTGTAATCCTCTCTATAATCAACAGTGTTGAAGTTAGTGAATTTTAAAGAGTTTAAATTTATTTAGTATGATAAATTAATATGGAATCTGATTAAACTATAATAAATTATTTGCAGATATTTACATGATTTGTGTTTAAAATAAAGAAGAAATATAGAATTCACTAAATTCTGAATTTAATTTAAAAGTATTGGGAAAATAAGATTTAAGTTTTGTAAAAACTTATTTTATGAAGCAATAAAAGAACCATCCAAAATGGGCAAATTATTACGTCCGGTGACCGGACGTGGATATACCTCCAGATATTAATAAAATATTATTTTAATTTAAGCTCATCAAAAGCGTAGAAAAAGCGCAGATAAAGCGCAGTCAAAGCACACCTAAAATACAGTCAAAGCGCAGATAACGTGGTAAGTTTTAATTGGATGTCCGGACCTAATAATTTGCCTCCAAAATGAGCCCTTAATATAAGAATAGATTTATCAGGCGGTTAGGGAGTCTGTTTGTACTTTATTTTGTCTTTATTATGTTTGATCAATTCTCTTATTATTTGAACTTGTCAAAGTTTTTTTTTTGTCACTTTTTACATTTTCTAGAAGATGGCATCATTGATTTAATTTTCTAAATAATAGGGGTAATATCCTCATTTTAAATAGAAAAAATTACAAATATAGCACTAAAAATCTATCATTTATTTATTTAACAACTAAACTTTTATATTTTCTCATATAATACTGAAAACTTTTAAAAAACGTAAAAAAATAACATTCTTCTTTACATTTTCACATTTTAGTCTCATGTAATTCACCATCAATATCTTGTTGCCCTTCACATGCCACTGATCGCATTTATGCTCTTCGAAGGTGCGAATACGACATGATTATTATTATTATTATTATTATTTGAGATATTACATAAGACTCGAACTCAAAACTTCTTAGTTTGTAGCCTAAGCTCCCTATCAACGGACCATCTTCATCCTCTTTTCACATGATGTTGGTTTAGTTTTTCTCTTCTTCCAGTTCTAATCTACCACCACTTTCTTGTCGAGGGTTTCACAAATATGTTAACAAAAACTAATATAGTGCTAGGAGAAATATAGAGTTTAAATAGGAAAATAATTAAATTTGTAGTATATTGTCTATAAATCTTAAATATCAAGAACTATTTTATAACTTAACAATTATATAACTTTCTCTCGCTATTAAAGAAAATTCAAAATTTGATGAATTTAAAATTCATCAAAAAAAATATAGTATTAACAAAAAAAGTATTATTTTAAATATATTTATTAAAATAATGAATTTAATTATTATCTTTATCATGAATATAATACCTATAATAATAATTTTTATCATTCAAATATTGAATTAACTAGATAAATTATTCAAAAAAATTATTTAATTAATATAATTAGTTCACATTTTTTTTTAACTAAATATAGTCAATAGATTACATATTTTGATTATAAATTTTTTATTAAAAAAAGCTGATGCTGATGTAGGATAGTGTCTTCTTCCTTCAATCGCCGTATTGTAATAAAGGCTTTGCCTGCTCTTTCTATCTTCTGTTCAGCTGTCCTATAAATAAATCTTGCTGTCTTCATTTACTGGAGAAATACTACCAAACAAAAGCCCGTTCCATCATGCTCCTTTTCCATGAAAATTTTATTTTACAGCATCCAACAACTAAAGAGAGAGCAGTTCCAAGCCCAAAAAAATACTTTGAGCCAATTATTTTATATCATTATAGCCTTCATAGGACTGTAAATGAGTTTTGAGCATTTTTAGTTTATGCGGATTATTTTTGATCTATTGACTGAGAGCTTAGATTATTATGCTTCATTTGGAACGGTAGCTCTCTAGTATAAAAATTTCTAGTTCTTAAAGTTACTTTAAAACATTATAGGAAAATCATCCCAAACAAAACCTTAATTAAGAGATTTTGAGTTTAAAACTTACATATGTGATACGTGTATAAATTTATGTTTATTTCGCTCAAAGTCGGCCCAAAGATAAACCTAATTTAGACCCAAAGATAAATCATCATTTCATTTTTTTCTTAAATTCTTTAGTTTGCTGGTATAATCTCTTTATTTTTTGATTAGTTTATATTAACTCCATAGCAAGTTATAAAAATTATTTTGAACCAAAATAGATTATCAGATCAGGTTTGGATATTTGGGTTGCTAGCGGGTCGAATATCACTTTGACCCATTTATTAAATTAGTTGTATTCAGGTCTAAATTTAAATCGGTTCAAATCCAAACATAACTCGTTAACCTATTTTGACACCCCAATCAAACTCGATATAATAGCCGAGAGACAAGTAGTTCAATACACATATTTTCATATACATATATATATATATAATTAACATTATAAAAATTTTAAAATATATAATATATATATATAAAATATATAATATATATATTTTTTTTTTAATTTTATTCCAATTTGTTAATATGGTGGTCCTACTCCCTTTCAATATTTGATATATTTTTAATGAAAATTGCATGCAGGTAGATGTGTTGGTCACAACAGCTGGTGGCATTGAGGAGGATTTCATTAAATGTCTGGCTCCTACTTTCAAAGGGGATTTCTCTCTAGCTGGAACTTATCTGCGTTCAAAAGGGTGGAATAGGATTGGGAACTTATTGGTGCCAAATGAAAACTACTGCAAATTTGGGGATTGGATTATGCCAATACTCGACCAAATGCTTAAAGAGCAAAACACTGAGGTTTTTATTAATTATTTCAGATTTTATGAAGCTTTTTTTACTTAAATTTCATTTGAGACGGTTTTCATATCGTTTTCTACAACATTTTTTATTACAAAAAACTACAAATTAAAAAAGAGCGACCAAAAACTGTCCCAAACGAAGCCATAATTCGCTTAACGGATGAGTTTGTTTTAAGACTATTTAGCTTTAAGGCTTCGTTTGTGACATCTTTTTTACTGCATTCTAGAGCAGTTTTTTAGCATAAAAATTTTTGTTCTAAAAAACTACTTTAAAAAACACTAAAAAAATAGTCACAAATGAAACCTAAGTGTGAAATTATGTTTCAAAATATGTTTATTGAGATGTGATTATTTTAATTAACTTTTTTTCTTTGTAAGTAAAAATTAAGGTTTTTATTAATTAATTCAGATTTTATGAAGATTTTTTGTACTTAAATTTCATTTGATACGGTTTTCATATAGTTTTCTACAACATTTTTTATTACAAAAAACTACAAATTAAAAAAGAGCGACCAAAAGCTGTCCCAAACGAAGCCATAATTCGCTTAACGGATGAGTTTGTTTTAAGACTATTTAGCTTTAAGGCTTCGTTTGTGACGTTGGTT